GTTTTCTTTATGAATTAATGTTATGTTAGCCTTCTTCCAAGTCTCGGGGATGCTCTGCTCTATCATAATCTTATTCATTAAAACTTTCAGATATGGACTAATCTCTTCTGTCAGTGTCTTATAAAAATGGCTGTGAAACCGTCAGATCCTGGAGCCTTTGACGGTTTCAGCTTTTTTATAGCTTTTTGTATTTCTTCCATTGTTATCTCTTTATTTAGAATTTCTCTCTGATGATCCGTTATTTTATCTAGTTTCTGCTTGCCAACATATTCTGTTATTTCCTCTATGCTGATCGGTTCTTCTGCATACAAATCCTTATAAAATTCATGAAAATCATTTCCTATTTCTTAGTCTGTTGTGCTTAGCCTGTTATTTGTACAGAGTTTTATGATTTGATTTGTTTGTTTCTTCTTTCTTAATTTTCTTGATAACCATTTTCCAGGTTTGTTTGCATTCTGGAATTCTTTTTGTTTTAAGAATTTAAGTTTCTTTGCCCATTGGTCTAGTTCTAAGTGGTGTTTTTGTTTTTTTATTTCTATGGTCTGTTTCATTATGTCTTCATCTTTCGGGTTTCTTTTTAATTCACCCTCCAATTCCTCTAATCTTTTATCTACTTTATCCATTTCCTGTCTCTTTATCTTATTTTTCGTTGCTTGTTGTTGAATGAGGTTCCCTCTCATTACCGCTTTGCACATGTTCCACAATATTTCTATTTTTGTCTCTTGCGTGTCATTTATTTCAAAAAATTCTTTAATTAGTTTTTTGTTTTTCATGATATCCTCTTCTGTTTTTAGGAGGTTATCATCCAATCTCCATCTCTTCTGACTAGCCCTTTTATTTATAGTCATTACTAAGGCTGTGTGTTGTTCTATGCTGTTGCTAGGGAAGATTTCTCGGTGGTCCAGTGTGTCTTTGTTCCAGTGGCTCAGAATGAACACTCATTTCTGGGACGACCAGTGTTCTGTCATGTAATGAACGGTGGCCTTCGATTCGTTGCGTTGCTGTTTTTGAATCCAAAACTGGCTCTTTTCCTCTTTCTTTGGCACCTCTTCTTTGTCTTTTCAGCTGCTGCAGGTATGATTTGGAGTGCTGTCTTTCGGGACATGTAGAAGTGTCCTTAATTCAAAGAGCCTACATTAGCTGGGACTACCATTGGATTTTGCCTTTATGTGGCCCTCCGGATAGTCTTGAACCGCAATGCCCAGTGGTTCTAGCCATCATAGACAGTGGTGAAGAAAGCTGGGAATTGCAGTGGAACGGGAAGATCAAGAACTCCCTGATTGTGGCCATAGAGTTGGAGAGGGACTATATGATATTTGAGAATCAATTGTTTCCACCCATGATCAAGTGCAGCTCAAATGTTTTCTTTTTCATGTTCCTTTTAATCATTGCCTTGATGTCATTGGCTGATTTTTGTCACTGCCCTTCAATGTTCATTTTTCCTGTTTCACTTTCAACCATAAATATATAAATAGCTAATAGAGAGGGGATAAAATTGCCATTAGATGAAGGTCCTGATACACTCTGTTCTGTCCACATTGTTACTTCAACTAATGTTTTTTTCCCCTCCTTTTACCATATGATACAGCTTGGTTTAACTCGGGGAACCAATCTCTTGGGTGTTGTGGGCTACAGTTCCCATAACCCCCTTCCATTGGCCATGGTCGGGGATTATGGGAGATTTTTGTGCGTGTCAGGAGTGACTTGAGAAACTGCAAAATTATGGGAGATGAAACATAGTTTCCCCCCACCTCTTAATTTATTTATTTATTTGCTTAGCAATTTTGTATACTGGTCTTCTCCCCTCTATCGGGGGACTCGGGCCGGTTTCCAACAATAAAATCACAACACAATCATTAAAAACATCATATAACATATTCAATTAAAATGTTATAACAGCAAAATGCAATCACATAATAACAATGGTCAGTCATCATAGTGAATTCGTTGTCCATCATTCATCATCATCTATCCGATCACAGAAATATTGATTCACTCGTCGAAAGCCAAACCCCATAGCCAGGTTTTCACCCATTTTCTGAATGACAGAATGGAGGGGGCAGTTCTGATCTCCAGTGGGAGAGAGTTCCAGAGTCGAGGGGCCACCACCGAGAAGGCCCTGTCCCTTGTCCCCACCAGACGCGCCTGAGAGGCCGGAGGGACCGAGAGCAGGGCCCCTCCAGACGATCTTAACAACCTCCAGACGATCTTAACAGTTGATCTTATTCTCTCTGCTCATATGTTGCCTTTCTTCATTTGTGTTCCCCTTCCAGGTCCTTGGTGCTACGATTCTCAAGGTCCTAAATGTGGTAAGTATTTGAAACAAGACTTTTAAATGGTTGTTTCATATTCCTTGAGGTCCTTCAGGGAAATCTTCTGGATTTCAGGTATAGTGGATGTCTACAAAACAGCTGTAGGTTTGTGTGGGATCCTCCAGGGTTGATGGATCATGTACTTGTGTTGGGTTGATCTATCTTGGTGACATTCAAAGTGAGGTAGCAAGCATTGCTCTCATTCCAAGTTGGCTTGGGAACATTATCGCATAGGCAAATCTGCTTGGACCACCTTCTTACCTTGTGGTGGCCCATCCAATTGGCCACAATGGCTTAAAGCAGGGGTTCTCAACCTTCCTAATGCCGTGACCCCTTAATACAGTCCCTCATGTTGTGGTGACCCCCAACCATAATATTGTTTTCATTGCTACTTCATAATAGTCATTTTACTACTGTTATACATCATAATGTAAATATCTGATATGCGGGATGCATTTTCATTTACTGGACCAAACTGGGCACAAATACTCAATACACCCAAATGTGAATGCTAGTGGGGTTGGGGGAGGATTGATTTTGTAATTTGGGAGTTGTAGTTGCTGGGTTTTATAGTTCACTTATAATCAAAGAGCATTCTGAACTCCACCAGCGATGGATTTGAACCAAACTTGGCTCCCATGACCAGTGAAAAACACTGGAAGGGTTTGATGGCCATTGACCTTGAGTTTGGCAGTTGTAGTTCACCTATATCCAGAGAGCACTGTGGACTCATGCAATGGTGGATCTGGACCAAACTTGGCATGGATACTCAATATGCCCAAATGTGGTGGAGTCTGGGGAAAATAAATCTTGACATTTGGGAGTTGTAGTTGCTGGGATTTATAGTTCATTACAATCAGAGAACATTCTGAACTCCACCAACGATAGAATTGGCTCAAACTTCCCACATGGAATCTCCATGACCATCAGAAAATACTGTGCTTTCTTATGGTCTTTGGTGACCCCTCTGACACCCCCTCACGACCCCCTCAGGGGTCCCGACCCCCAGGTTGAGAAACACTGGCTTAAAGCAATGTCTGCCCTCCTGTGCTGCCTATTCAAGCAATGGCTGTGCTCCTTTTCAGAGTATGGTCAGAAGCATTCCACTTATTCTAGGTTGGCTTGGTCACATCATCATACAGGCACATTTGATTGACTCTGTAACATCATGATGCAGTGGGATCAAGGATCTCCCCTTTCTAAGGGAATGATGGCATCTCCCAACAGACAGGTTTTCCCAGTGCCTGGAAGGACAATAAATATAAACAGGACCAGAACAGAAGCCACAGTTGATCTTCGGGACTGCAAAATCCCCCAAGATAGCTTGTTTTGTCTGTCAGACCAAATATAGACCCGGCGAGGAAACCCTGTTGAATTATTGATAAGAAAAACCCCACTCATGCTTATTAATGAAGGGCATCTCAGCAAGAGGGCATCTCCTCTTTGCAGTAGGAGACAACGGAAGGAATGCTGCCGGGCATCTAATGAACATTTTGGCTGTACCACAGGTCTGCTGGCAGAGGTGTCAGTTTTTCCAATATCCTTTAAGGGGGAAAAAATCAATGCAAATGGTTTCCATTGAGCAGAAGAGAGGGGAAGTCAAGGACTTGATCAAAGTTGTCTTCAGAAGGAACGACGAAAGGGATCGGTTAAATGTAAACCCGTCACAATCTGGCTTTAGGCTGGGACATGGAACTGAAACAGCCTTGTTTTCCTTAGTGGATGATCTGAGTAGGGGACTGGTCAGGGGGAGTGTGTCCCTGTTGGTTCTCCAGGACCTCTCAGTGGCCTTTGATACTGTAGACCATGGTATCCTTCTGAGATGCCTTGCAGGAATGGCAGTTGGAGGTACTGTTTTGCAGTGGCTCCAGTCTTTCCTAGAGGGTCGTTCTCGGAAGGTGTTGCTGGGGAACACCTGATCAGCCCAACAGCCATTGACATGCGGGGTCCCACAGGGCTCAGTACTGTTCCCCCATGTTGTTTACATGAAGCTGTTGGGAGAGATCATCTGGAGTTTTGGAGTTGGATGCCATACGTACGCAAATGACGTCCAACTCTATCATTCCTTTCCACCTGTTGCTAAGGAGGCTGTTAAGGTTCTGAACCGGTGCTTGGCAGCTGTGATGGTCTGGATGAGGGCAAACACATTGAAATTGAATCCAGACAAGACGGAGGTACTCCTGGTCAGTCGAAAGGCTGAACAGGGTGTAGGGTTACAGCCTGTGCTGGATGTGGTTACACTCCCCCTGAAGACACAGCTTAGGAGTAATCCTGGACTCATCACTGGGCATAGAACCCCAGGTTTTGGCGGTGGCCAGGACAGCACTCACACAATTAAAACTTGTGTATCAGCTGTACCCGTACCTTGAGAAGCCACACTTGGCCACAGTGGTCCACGCTCTTGTTACATTTCGAATAGGTTACTGCAGCACACTCTACATGGGGTTGCCTTTGAAGACTGTCTGGAAGCTTCAAGTAGTATCAATGGGCAGCAGTTAGATTTCTCACTGGAGTGACATACAGGGAGTGTACAACCCCATTGTTACATCAGCTCCACTGGCTGTTGATTTGCTACCGGGTATAAATATAGTGAATAAATAAATAGATGGGAGAGAGAGAGAGAGAACTGCGTTGAAACAGTGGTGGGCATGTTTGGGAGTGACGCCTTGCTACTCCTACTCTCCTTAGGACCTTCACACTGGAAAGAAATCATGCCAACCTGTGGAGGAGAGAACCAGTCACCCATTAATATTGACCGATGGAAAGCCCAGTGGGACAAGGACCTCGATGAGATCTTGTTTGAAGGGTATGACCAAGCCCCACCCGGCAGGTGGAGATTGCTGAATGATGGACACACAGGTGAGCGTGAAAGAGGCACTTCTATTCAAAAGATGCTTTCCCAGTGCCACTTTGAGGTTGCTATTCATTCATCCATCCATCTTTGCTTTAATGTGCATTTGGATCTCCTTTGGCCCAGGAAACCAAGCTATTGGGATTCTGTCATCATCTGGCTTTATTTGTTTTTTATTTTATTTTCACAGTTTTATGACTTAAAGGAAAAAGGGGGGGGGGGGGGGGGGAAGAAAAAAAATGGGATGGGAGATAGTAAAAATATCATATGTTGGTTATGGAGTTTTGTTAGTAAATTAAATCTACACAAGAGTCTTTTGTATCACCAGGGATATAGAGAGGGAGGGAATTGTTATACATATTCTCTAAAATATGATGAAATTCCATCTACAATATCTTCTATTATCAAAGCAAGTGGATTCTTGCTTTTATAATCTGGTATTCATGTTAGTCCTGTCTTCTTCTATCATCACGTCTTTTTTTATCTTCTCCTTTGAGCCTGCATAATAAGTGTTCCTTCTAATTATTTTATCAGTTTACTAATACATGCTCTATTTTCTCCTAGTTTTAATAATATCAATTCATTTACATATCTCAGAGTCAGTTTATTTTGTTAATACATATGTAAATGCTTATTATATTAGTCTATCTTCTATGCAGGTTCTATATATGTATTATTCTTGTGCATAATTTCATTTTTAAAGCGTATTTCATTAAAAAATCATAAAATTCATGCATACGAAGTGATAATGGAAAAATGCAGGAAATGTGGTGGTGGTGGTGGGGAATTTAGAAATGGAGGCACTCACCAATAATATTTGTTAAGATTCTGTAACATTCAGATGTCTCCCAAGGTCAATTTAATTTCCAGTATAACCACTGAGTAACTGTGTTAAAGCCAAGAGAATATAAAGTGCTTAAAAAGCAATTATTTTACTCTGGAGTTTTGCTTCATTGTCACCATAAGGAAGGTGCTGTGGGCGGTACTAAACTTAATGGAGATTGAGAACACAGCCATCTTAAATGTAGTCTTGTAAAGCAAGGCCCCCAATGGCAGAGAATGCAAAAAACCCTGCCGAAAACTACATTTCCCAGAATGCAATGCTGCTCAGGACTCAAATGAGGGCTGAAGGACCCAAATGATAATTGTCTGCAGCAGTCGCCATTAAGAGTTAGTCCAATAATAATAAATAAAAATATTGAATCTGCAAAGAGGACTAAAGTAAGCAAGCATTAAGCAACTTTGGTAAAGCCAAGAGAACATAAAGTGATTTAAAAACCAATGATTTTACTTTGGCCCGATCGTTATAAGGAAGGTATTGTGGGGCAATCAGCCAGCTGTTTAGAGTCAAATAATAATACAGCGTTCCCTCACTGTTTCACAGTTCGCTTTCTGGAGATTCATCATCATCATCATTTAATTACTTATTAATCGCCCTCCATCCAAGATGCTCTAGGCGCTGTTTCGCGGTTAGGGTTTAGAATTAATATTTTTATTTTTATACATTTTTTTTGGTTTTAAAATCAGAAATGCCTTGCCCGACTTACCGGGCAAGGGTCATAGCGGTGGTGGGCGCCCTCCCACCAGCCATGCTGCTTGCTGGGGGCTTCTTCTTCCCAAAAGCCCCCAAAAGCCCCAGGCACGGCAGGAAGTTTCCCACCGCTTGGCTGCCTGGCCAATCCGTGGTAGGCCCCGCTCCTGGATTGGCCAGGGCCGGCTTCCCCACCTTGCCCCGCCAGCCTTTCTAGGGCTGCCCTCGTCCTCCACAGGGCTGGGGCCTGCCACTGGTTGGCCAGGCAGCCAAGAATAGCCCCCTGCAAGCAGCATGGCTGGCAAGAGGGTGGCCACTGCCGCAATGGCCCTTGCCCGGTAAATCAGGCAAGGCGTTTTTGATTTTAAAACCAAAAAATGTATACAAATATATTAAAAATATTAATTCTAACATTAAAAGAATATTATAAATCATAAAAATTAGGATTTACAGTAAATAGGACTGTAAACAAAATTATTGAATCTGAAAAGAGGACTACAGTAAGTAAGTAATAGTATAAATCTGTGCGAAGTTGAAGTTATGTAGTTGTGTGCCATAAAGACAGGCGGACATTCAAGGGAATTACTGTTGTCGCTTTTTGAAGGATAAATTGTTTTGGTCTAAACTTTTAAAAATCCCCAAAAAATCTGTAAATGTGTGAATCTTTCAGAAACTTCTAGAGATTGATGCCCTGGTTATCTTGTGTATTGTAGATAAAATTAAAGAAGATAGCTCTTGTAGTTTTTTTAAATGTTGTGAATAAAAAAAAATTCCATAGATAAGCTTGATGGGTAAAGAGTGGTAAATGTGTTCTACCATTGTAGCAAGTTTCACCCCAATAGCTTTAAAAATGAGGGAGATAGGAGCCCCTGAAGTTTCTCCGATAGTAGTAACTAGTGCATTAATGTGTATGCGTAATTACTGTAACAAAATAGTAATGAACATTTGTTAGTCTCATTATAGTAACACGTTTTTTACTAAGTATACTTTAGAAACACTTTAGAAACAAAGCTCCATATGCCCCCCTCTCTCTGTTTCTATAATATCTACATCATTGAAATTATATACATTTCTATTATGTTATTAAAAAATACTAACCCATCAACTATCTTCAGCCTTTTGGGTTTTAGAATACGGAATATATTTATATATTATTCATATTAGTTTTACTTCACGAATCGTGTTACGGTCACCTTCTTCTGATTTTTTTAAAATAAAGTCCATAAAAGGTTTCCATTCTTCTTGTAGTTTCTGCGAACTAGTTTAGTTGTAAAATTGGTCCATTTCAGCCATTTCAAAAACATTTGTAATCCAGTCATTTGTTGTTGGTATAGTTTGTTGCTTCCATCATTTTGCATATTCAATTCTTGCTGCTGTTGTCATATAAAGAAACATTCTTTCTTGGTGATTCGGTATTTGTTTATCTAATAATCCTAATAATCCTGTCAGCATCTGACACATGAGGAAGTCAGTTTATTGAAAATGGGGAGCATGGGCAGATTTCTGCTAGACAACAGCTATGCGGGATCTTGGCCAATATTTTGAGTGTGTAATCTGGAGTGGAGAAGTGACAGCAATCACAGAGCAATTGGATCTTCTCTCTTGTCCTCTGTTCACTCTCCCCATAAATGGAGATGATGACAAACCATCTCCCAAGCTAGGTTTAGACATGGCATTTGTGGCCTCTTGGAAGCTCATCTAAGAATATAAGGTCTGTGCCCAGAGGTGGCCCTAGGTAATTTTCAATGGTAAGCAAACAGTATTTTGCCCCCCCCCCCCCACCACCAATCACTGAAATATATTTTCTGTTCATCGTGGGAGTTCTGAGTGCCATCATTGGTGGAGTTCAGAACGCTCTTTGATTGTAGGTGAACTATACATCCCAGTAACTACAACTCGCATATGTCAAGGTCTATTTTCCCCCAAGAGCGTCTCAAGAGAGCCCCTGGGCAAAATCAACTATACTGCAAATGCTTACTTCACGTAATGGGTTGAGCCGCCCCTGTCTGTGCCGATACAATCCAAAGGCCTATTTTGTCCAGCATTCTGTTCCTGGATAACCAACTAGGTTCCCAATGGGAAGGCTAGAAGAGCAACATCTGTTTTGTGTTCCTCACCCAATGATGTAAAGTGATACATTGCCTCTGATACTAGAGGTAACATATGACTCTAATAAATATGTAATAACCACTGAGAAGCTTATTCTCCTTGGAGTAGTCCAATCCCGTTCTAAGGTCATCCAAACTGGTGGCCATCTTGTTGTCTTGTATTTGAAGGTGTCAAAAGCCTGACCTCCATTCTCCAGCTCTGGTCTAAATCAAAAGTAAGAATGTTCTCTCCCTCTCTCAGTCTCCCTCTCTCTCACATACACATAAATTGGTCCATTTATTGAAGGACTGTTCACCATTCCCCAGTCAACAAAGCATGGATGCTTCTATGCAATGGACAGTGGATTGGATTGCTCCCCACTGTCTTGAGCAGTGTTGGACAATGCCTTCCACTATCTTGGTAACAGCCAGGATAGGATGGGCAATAGACTCTGTAGTAGGTTGCTACTGATTCTCCCCCTAGTATCTGTTGCTCGAGGTGGTTGTCTCATTCTGCCTGCATCATGAGCAACCCGTTGCCTATTCCTGTCCATCCACTGTGTGAGAGGCAGTCTAGTGTTGCTAAAGTTATCAGAGTTGGTGATGCATTTCTCTCTCTTTTTTCTATATTTAACTGGCTTGCTTTGCAGTTGTCCTAAACCTGGATGGGGCCTCTGCTGCAGAACAAATTAACATCACCAGAGGAGGACTTCATGACACGTACCGGGCCTTGCAGTTCCACTTCCATTGGGGGGATCTCAACCGAAATGGATCAGAACATACCTTTGATGGGATACAGTACCCCATGGAGGTCAGTTCTGCTTTCAGGCGTTTTCCTTGCTTAGTTTTTCTTGGTTCCATTTCTACATTGCCTTATTCCAAAGTGGCTTTGGATATTCGTCTGGACATGTCATTGCCATGTCGTGTAGCCTGAAGCCTAGAAGTTCTTCCTTCTGGCCTTATGAAGGAACTGTTGCGAGAGTAAGATGGAGTGAGCATGGTCCTAAAGACCCTGGACAGAAGGAATAAATATGTAATAAAAGAAGGGAGCATTGGGAATAATGCTTGTATCCAGTCATTGCAAGGAGAACAATGGCCAGCATTCAGGAGTTCAGTGCTTGCATTCAATCATTCTCCAAGAATGATGGCAGCTCCTGCCACCAGAGCTTGCACATGTTGCACCTTGGCACATTACGTGGGGCCAAAGGGCTGACGTTTGCTCAGAGGCTGGTCTGGTGGTGAACAACTTCAAGTACTTCTCTGTGTTTGCACGAGAGGCTATTAATTAAGGGAAAACCCTTGAGTTGTCGGGATGACTTGATCAAGCGGAGGATGGACAATCCAGCTATTCATCATGGCAGCAAAGCAAAAGCAAGACGACATGAAAGGGCTTTTGATGCCCTCAGGACAATTAAAAGAGGCCTGCTAGGTCTTTCCAATTATTTTAATTGTTAGATATGAGACCTGGAAAACAGCTCAGGCCAACTGGTTGAAAATGTTTGCCTTTAAGCACCAATCAACCCTTTAATGGGAGCTACAGAGATATGACCCGCATTCCAACAATTGTGCCCTTTGAGGAAAAGTTAACTTTAAAGCAAGGATGTGCAACTGTGTGCAGACCAAAGGCCAGTTCTCCCCCACAACTCCTATGTGGGGTGTCCCCTAGAAAAACACACGCAAATCCTTCCGTTTTCTTCTGCTGGCCCTTTCAAAATGGCAACATGGCATTTTTATATAAATATAAATACACCTTGTAGTATATTTTTTGATGGTTTCATGTGTTTGGAAGGGAGTTGTGCAACATTTAGGGACCAAAATGGCCTGCAAATTTATGGGGTTGGGTCGCTTTGGTGTTTCAGGGGACGCAAAAATAGAATCCAGGGGTCACATGTGAATATCTTTTGTATCTTGTTCATGACAAAGATTGTTATTTTGAGGTTCATCTCCTTACCATCTTTCAAATCCTAATGTAGAGGTGTGTACTTCAATTCTAGTATCAATGCACACGCATATACCAGATATCCTTGAAGATTCTGTTCATGCCCCTCTTGATATAATTGGATTTGGCTGTGAACATCATCAAAGAGTCCTATTTCAACCAAAAGCAAAGAATATTTATGCTTTTTTCCCCCCACAGCTGCACATTGTCCACATAAACGCCAAGTACAAAACTCTCAGTGAAGCCAAAGGACACCCCAATGGACTCGCAGTCCTGGGCTTCTTATTTAAGGTATGTGACACACATTCAAGTTGAATGAAACTAGTTCTATCTAGAACCAGTGGTGTCACTGGAGGGGGGTGCGGACTGTATTGGGTGACACCATCAGAGGCAGTGACACCAAAAAAAACAAACAAACCTGTCTATAAAAATGTTTTCCCTACGCCCAGCTTTCATATACTGTGTTAATATATCTTCAAGGCTAAAACTCTATCCAAATTTACACTTTTAACCTTCTAATGTGCATGTCCTCTAGTCGGAGCTGTTGTTTTTACGCCAATGACAATGACGTTTCGGATGACGTAGTTTCATCCACACAGGGTATGAGCACACACTGTCATTTTCATTGTGGCTGGTTATTTAAAGTAGTTGCTGATGTTGTCAAATCCCCTCTGAACAAATCTTGCCAAGAAAGCCCCATGAGAGCTTCACTTTAGAGTCACCATAAGTCAGAAGTGATTTGAAGGTGCACAACAAGTACTGCTCTCTTTTGTGGAGAAAAAAAGTGAGATATAAATAAACATAAACATAATAATACTGATTTTGGGTACTATGATCAAGAACCCTATTTGTCTTGCATGAAATGAACTATGCCTTGGGCTTCCAGCTAAACATACCATAGATCAGTGGTTCCCAACTTCTTTTACCAGGGACCACTTGATCAGGGAGCACTTTGACTAGGGACCACTTGACTAGGGATCACTCTCCAACATTAGTACAAAAAAGGTTATGAATTAGTTTTTGGTCAACATTAGATTCGGTTTGGTTATTTGGGGTGCTGATTTAGAAAATTGCATTTGGATAGACCACATCAGCTCTAGTTTCTGATACAGGACATATGCCATCCAGTAGTTGCTAACTGCTTGCCCAAAGAAAACCATATTTAATAATCTAGAGCTGATGTGGTGTATCCAATGCAATTTTCTGAATCAGCACCCCAAATAACCCCAGGAACAGGCCTAAAAACGAAGACTGCAAGGCATCCTTGCTTCCGCTCAGGGAGAGGGAGGAGGAGAAGAAGAAGCAGTCAGGAGGCATGTTGTGCCTTTCGTGGGTAGTCAGCCTCTCCCCTCCTGGCATCCCCATTCCTCAGCACTACAAGAGGGCTTTTACTCTTACTGCAATGGTGTAGTAACGGGGTGAGGCCGAGGGCCATATTTGAGTTCTTGGGGAACCACTGGATAAAATTGCTCTGGAGGAGAAACTTCCTTGAGAAGTCTTCTCTCTAGGCCTCCAGTGCCATTCTGTGGTCAACTTCCAGCAGAACTTCTGTCTGATGCACTCAGTTGCATAACATTGCAATTCACAAATGAGGTGGCACTGCACAAGCATGGAAAGCCATCAGAACAATAAAACTCTGCTTTATGTCCTCGATGTAGAATTTTGTCCTTAGTTAATCTTCTTCTTTTGCGGGTAGCCACCCTACATTATTCACTTTTTTCTTTGTGACGCAGGTATCTGATGCAGATAATACTAATTACAACACAATTGTAGCAGGTCTGAAAAACATTTCTCAAGCAGGTAAGTGCCATGCCTGAGTATGCATCTGAAATGCTTTCCTTGCAAATACTAGTCTTATCTTTTTCGGTTATTAGTATGGATTCCAATTTTCTCCTTGTTTCCTACCAATCTGATAACTACAGCGAATGTTAGAGAATCATAAACTGAGAAAATTGGAAGGCATGAAAAAAAAACCCCACAAGAATCCTGGACTGAGAATCTCTATAGTTTAGAATTCATCCTGCACAAAAAACACATGGGTATTTTTATGCAGAAAACTACATTTTCTACACAGGAAAGAATTTTTTATCTGTTAAATTTATTTCATTCTTTTAACTTGAGATTTATTTTAATATTATAAGATATACATTCCATATTCACAGGGAATACATACATTAATGACCAGACCTCAGTTACCAGGAAACACGGTCCAAACATATTATTGAGTTGCACTGTAGTCTCCTTCACCTTTATTTGGAGAAACCGCCAGAGGAAATAGCCTGGAGGGAACCATGGGATGAGGCTGCAATTGTGAAGTGCAATATGGATGAAGAGGGGCATTCCATTGGCTGAGGGGTCCCCATAGAAACCATAACGGGGAGGAGGAGATGCGGGAAAGGGAGACCATCAATTCGGCCACCAATTCGGCTCAAAAGTAGTAGAAAATCTACAACCCAAATTTGGCCTAGGGAGAGAAAAAGAAACTTAAAAAATTTAATAACGTCTAACCGGTCTCCTGACAAGGCAAATGGGTGTACCCAGGTTGGCGGTCCCTCCGGGTTGAAGATGGTGCTGTTGAACGCCAGATCTGTCAACGGTAAAACATCTTTCATCCAGGATATAATTCTGGAGGAACGGGCAGATCTGGCGTGCATTACGGAGACCTGGTTGGACGAAGCTGGAGGAGTAAATTTAACCCAGCTTTGCCCCCCAGGTTTCTCCGTACAGCACCAGCCGAGACCTGGAGGGCGGGGAGGTGGGGTTGCGGTGGTCTACAAAAATTCCATCCTTCTGACCAGAGGCCCCATCCCACAGTCAACTAATTTTGAATGTGTCTACCTGAAGGTGGGTGACCGGGACAGAATAGGGATTCTGTTAGTGTACCAGCCCACCTCGCTGCACTACAGTCTCCCTACCTGAGCTAGCAGGGGTGGTCTCGAGCCTGTCATTGGAGTCCCAACGGCTTCTTGTGCTGGGGGACTTCAATGTACACGCCGAGACTACCTTAGTGGGAGCGGCTCAGGACTTCATGTCTTCCATGGCAACCATGGGGCTGTCCCAACAAGTAACTGGCCCCACCCACAGTGCTGGACACACATTGGATTTGGTTTTCTGTCAGGGATGGGAGCAAGGTGGCGGGGTTGAGGAGTTATCCATCTCTCCGTTGCCATGGACCGACCACCATCTGGTCAGCTTTAGACTTACTGCACCCCTAACCTCTGCAGAGGTGGGGGACCCATTAAGTTGGTCCGCCCCAGGAGGCTTATGGATCCGAATGGATTCCTGACGGCTCTTGGGGATTTCCCCGCTACCTCGGTTGGTGATCCTGTTGATGCCCTGGTGTCTCTCTGGAATGGGGAGATGCCTAGGGCAATAGACACGATTGCTCCGGAACGTCCCCTCTCAAGTAGCCGAGCTAAACCAGCTCCTTGGTTCACGAGGAGCTGGCAGCGATGAAGCGAAGGAAGAGGAGACTAGAGTGCGTGTGGCGTTCGGACCCGAACGAATCAAATCGAACACGGTTTGTTGCCCTTCTAAGGGCATATGCCGGCAATAAAGGCGGCAAAGAAATCTTTCTTTGCGGCCAATATTGCGTCCGCAAAGAATCGTCCGGCTGAGCTGTTTCGAGTTGTCAGAGGCCTATTAAAGCCCACCACTCCGGATGGGAGCCCTGACAACTCGACGGCCCGCTGTGAAGCATTTGCACGGTTCTTCGCGGACAAAGTCGCTTTGATCCGTTCAGACCTGGACACCATGTTAACGGCGGTCTCTGAGGATGTGACAAGAACACCTGTCTGTCCGATTTTGTTGGATTCGTTTCAATTGGTGAAACCTGAGGATGTGGACAAGGTGCTTGGAGGGATGAGGGCGACCACATGCATCCTAGACCCCTGCCCATCCTGGCTTCTAAAGGAGGCCAGAGGGGGATTGCGAGTGGGTGAAGGTGGTGGTTAATGCCTCCCTTCAGGAAGGCAAAATTCCAGCCAGCTTAAAACAAGCTGTAATAAAACCGCTGTTGAAAAACCATCACTGGACCCCACTCAATTCGTCAACTATCGGCCTGTTTCCAATCTCCCCTTTTTGGGCAAAGTCCTGGAACGTGTGGTGGCCTCACAACTCCAAGCATTCTTGGTAGACACTGATTATCTGGATCCGGCGCAGTCTGGCTTTAGGCCGGGACATGGTACCGAGACAGCCTTGGTCGCCTTAGTGGATGATCTCCGGCGTGAGCTTGACAGGGGGAGTGTGTCCCTGTTGGTTCTGCTGGACCTCTCAGCGGCCTTCGATACCGTCGACCACGGTATCCTTCTGGGGCGCCTCGTGGGAATGGGCCTGGGGGGCACTGTTTTACAGTGGCTCAGGTCCTTCCTAGAGGATCGCACCCAGAAGGTGTTGCTGGGGGACAACTGCTCGGCCGCACAACCATTGACTTGTGGGGTCCCGCAGGGTTCAATATTGTCCCCCATGTTATTTAACATCTACATGAAGCCGTTGGGAGAGATCATCCGGAGTTTCGGGTGCGGTGTTATCTGTACGCAGATGACATCCAACTCTGTCACTCCTTCCCACCTACTACTAAGGAGGCTGTTCAGGTCCTGAACCGCTGCTTGGCCGCTGTGTCGGACTGGATGAGGGTGAACAAATTGAAACTGAATCCAGACAAGACAGAGGTACTCCTGGTCAGTCGTAAGGCCGAACAGGGTATAGGGTTACAGCCTGTGCTGGACGGGGTCGCACTCCCCCTGAAGACGCAGGTTCGCAGCTTGGGTGTGACCCTGGATTCTTCGCTAAGCTTGGAACCCCAGGTTTCAGCGGTTTCCAGGGGAGCATTTGCACAATTAAAACTCGTGCGCCAGCTGCGCCCGTATCTTGGGAAGCCGGACTTGGCCACGGTAGTCCACGCTCTCGTCACATCCCGCATAGATTACTGCAACGCGCTCTACGTGGGGCTGCCCCTGAAGACTGCCCGGAAGCTTCAGATGGTACAGCGCTCGGCAGCCAGGTTGTTAACGGGAGCAGCACTCAGGGAGCATACCACCCCCCTGTTGAGCCAGCTCCACTGGTTGCCAATCTGCTACCGGGCACAATTCAAGGTGCTGGCTTTAGCCTTTAAAGCCCTAAACGGTTCCGGCCCCACTTACCTCTCCGAACGCATCTCCACCTATGAACTGGCGAGGACGTTAAGATCGTCCGGGGAGGCCCTGCTCTCGGTCCCGCCGGCATCACAAGCGCGGTTGGCGGGGACGAGAGACAGGGCCTTCTCGGTGGTGGCCCCTCGGCTATGGAATGCCCTACCAGCGGACATCAGGCAGGCCCCTTCGTTGCTGGTGTTTCGGAGGAGGGTTAAGACGTGGCTCTTTGAGCAGGCGTTCGGATAGCTGTGCAATTGCAATTAAATCCAGGAAGACGGCATAACTGAACAAGGAACGGCAATGGAATGTGAGAACGGAATCTGATTTTATGTGAGGCGTTGATGTCTATATGTGTGTCGTTTGTGTATGTTTGTCTTTACATTGTTAGTGTGCACAACTTTTACTGTAAACCTCATTGAGTCGCCGGTCACGGCTGATAAATGCGGTATACAAATAGCGTAAATAAATAAATAAATAAATAAATAAATAAATATTTGCTTCATTTTCTATTCTTATCCACTTCTCTTGCTTGTCCTCTATCAATTCCAGAATTGCTTTCAGTTGAAATGCTTCGTAGTATTCTTGTAACTTTGGAATTCCCCATCCTAATTCTTTATTTGACATATATAGTTCCTTATTACTTATTCTTGATTTTTCCCCCTCCAAATATCCATTTCCTTATTTCTCCATCCCCTTTTTTGAATTTTTGTTGTGTAATCTCCAATGGTAGAGTTTGAAACAAATACAGTAATTTAGGGAGGATGGACATTTTAATTGCTCTAATTCTCATTAAAATACTTACATTTTTATCCTTCCAATTATTCATTTGTGCCTGTACCTTTCTCCATGTTTTCTTATAATTATAATCCCAGATCCTCATTGGTTTATTAGTTAAGTAAATTCCCAAATATTTAATTTTATTTTTTACAATCTGTATATCTTTCCTTCTCCGAATCTCTTATTGGATTCCTTTCCCCAGGTTAAACTCCAACAGCTCTGATTTTGTCATATTAATCCCTAATCCTGAGATATTATAAAAATCTTCCAATATTACTTCTAATTCCTTCAATGTATCCAGTGGATTTTCTGTTATTATTAAGAAATCATCCGCAAACTGATTCACTTTCACTTCCTCCTTCCCCATCCTAAATCCTGTTATTCTACCATTATTTCTAATTCTATCTGCCAGATATTCTATAGCTGTTGTAAATAACATCGGTGATAATGGGCACCCCTGTTTTACCCCTCTTTCAATGTCTATTACTCTGGAGTATCCCTGGTTAACTTTCACTTTTGCTAATCCTTTTTTATACATTTCTCTTATAACCTCTATGAATTCTTGTCCCATTCCCAAATTCTCCATCCTTTTAAATAGAAAGTTATGATTCACTGTATCGAAAGCTTTGTATACATCCAATTTAATAAATGCTAATTTTTCTTACTTTTCTGTGGCATGATGTTAAGAAGATTCCTAATTGGATGACTAATATTTCTCCCCTTTATAATCAATACTGATCTTCCCCTATCACTTTTGGTAATGAATCCTTTAGCCTATTTGCTAGTATCTTCGCAAATATTTTGTAATCCTGGTTCATTAAGCTGATTGGTTTATTGGAATTTACTTCTCTAGGATTCTTCCCTGGTTTGATAATAGTTATTATTTCTACTTCCCGCCAAGACTCAGGTACTTAACCCCTTCTTATTATATTATTAAAGACTATTGCCAATTCTGGGATTAGTACTTCCTTCATTTGTTTGTAAAACTCTGTAGTATATCCATCAGCTCCAGGTGATTTTGCTGTTTTTAACTTCATTATCACATTGTCGATCTCCTGGTATGAAATGACACTACGTAATTTTTTTTATCCTCTTCCTCCATTTTTACCAAAACCCAGTCATCACATAGTGAATTATTTTCACCCTTATATAATTTCTGGTAAAAATCAGCAAATATATCCCTTATACTTTTATTGTCCTTTACCAATTTATTTTTTTATCGTATATTTCTTTCACCCTTTGCTTTTCCTTTTTAAAATAATTTGCCAGGCGCCTAACAGACCGGTTTCTGCTTTTAGTATCTCAGATTGATTAGAGTCTCTCTTTAAAATATAATCTATACGAGTAATTTTTTTTGTCTTTCAGAGTAATAAGTTGGTTTTGGTTGCGTTTTCTTATTTTTTAACATGTCTAAATTGAAGTCCCCTGCTGTAATTACTCCCCCTTCATAGAAAAGATATTTAAGAAGCTAGAGGGCTTCTATGTATTTTTTCTGGCCATTATTAAGGACATAGATATTTAGAATTGTCATTTTTACCCCATATATTTCTCCTTTAAAGATTACCCATCTCCCTTTATTATCCACCATTAAATCTGTTTGTACCACTTTTATATTATTTTTTATCAAGATAGCAACGCTCTTTGTTTTATTATTTGCTCTTGCCTCTGCCTGTATGTGCCAACCTGAGATACTTAATAGCTTTACTGGGTCCTTTGCCGATCTGTATGTTTCCTGCAACATTATACATCCAAAATTATTTGTTTCTATAAACCTTCTTAATCTTGCTCTCCGATAGGTTGTCGCTAAACCATTGACATTCAAGATAACACATTTTAGTGATAGACCCATTGGATTATGTTTAAACCCTTGATGTTTTCCCTAGGATCCTTTTTTTTTGGTTCCTTCTTTTTTTGATGTTCCTTGTCAACCCCCCATTCCCCCAATGTGGCCATAGCGAGAGATTAAATTCCCTCCCCTCCATTGAGTCTTTAGCATCTTCTGCATTCCTATAATCCCCCCCCCTTCCCCATTTAATAACCTTTAGTAGCATGCCCTCTTAAAGTTTTCTTTAATTTCCCCCTTTTGCAATGTTAACTATTGTTCCTCTGATTCTGGGCTTTTGCCCTTACCACTGCTTGGATAAGAGGTTTACCTCCCCAATCAGTGCACATTATCCTACTCCCTAGATTTTTACTACTCCTACCCAGTGACTGATTATGCTTATTATATTTTAACAAAACGCAAAACATTATTATGCTTAACAAATAAAAATGAAATATTTCATACTTTGTACTTTTAACCAGCCCCGAACCAGGGCAGGGATGAGTAAGCATTAATAATTAACAAAGTCTCCAATAATATTGCAGCCACTTCTGTCCATGTGCATCCTGAGAGGGAGAAGTAAACAGTTTCTTACAGAATCAGTATGGTTTATCCCATTCTGTTACTCGTCTTCTTCTTCTTTCTCCTCTTCCTCCTCTCCTTCCTCTTCCTCTTTTTTAATCCTCAAAGATTCATTAGACAAATCTTGTCTCACTGTAATCAGTTTGTTTTTATATAGAGGTCTTTTCCTCTTTAAATCTTTTAACATCTCTTCCTTTTTGTTTTCTGTAACAAACTTGATAATCACTTGCCTTGGCCTTGCAGATGCAGCTGATCTTGTGCCTCCTCTTTTTGAGCTTCGGAGCAGTCTATCAATATCCATTGAAGAGATTTCTATTTGATTTTTTTGAAACCACTTTACAATCTCTTCTTTCAAATTTTCTGGTTTTTGTTTTTCTTTCTCTGGCCAAAATCCAGTATTAAATTTGCTCTTCTGCTTCTATCTTCTAACATTGCAAGTTGCCCCTTTAATTTATCAATTTCTTGCATATTATCTTTTGATTGCTGTTCTGTAGCAGTTAATTTGTTTTCAAGAGCACTCAATCTCTTCCCCATATTACTCAAGGTCTCATTCATTATTTTGAAATGGTCTTGTAGAGGTTTTTTTCCAGTTCCTCAATTGCTCTCTTATTTCCCTCCAAGTTAGCCCTGGTTAACGGAGGCTCCTTCAGAGACATTATTATTCAGCTAATAAGCCTTATCAAGACTTATCACTGTGTTTTTCTCCCTTTCGGGAAATATCTTTGGGTATTTTTGGAGAATGTTCACTTATCTTCACTTAGTGTTTGAAGTGTCTTCAACTTCTGGTTTGTTGATTCTCCTATTATCCTTTTTAGGGCTTATTTTCTTATTTCCTTCAGGGAGAGAGATTAGGGTGTGACTGCTCACTCCAGCCGCATGCGCAGAAAAACCTTTACAAATAATTTAAAAGAGGGAATAAAAAATAGGCCCAAGAAAAATAGCATTAAAAATATGGGCAAAATGGAAAGAGAAATGGATGCCATATTTATCAAAGGAAGCCCCGATAGGTAGTTTAAGAAATGAGGAGGACGAGAGCAACATAAAAAAATTGAAACAGATGGGCTATAGTAAAATCAAAGATTTATATAATGAAAATAAGGAATTAATGGAATGGAAACAATTGGAAACATTAGGGGGTGGGATAAATTGGTTAACACTAAGAGGAATTTGGGAACAAATTAAAAAGAAATAAAATAGTAAGGGAGAAAATATAATAGATAAGATATTAGAAGAGAGATTTGGAGGCAAATAAGGACTTAATAAAATATATGGAAGAATGATAGAAGACAAGGAATTTATATATAGAATAATGGAAAACACGTGGGAAAAGGAAGGGCCTAGGAAGAGAAAAAATAGAAAAGATAATCAATAATTTAAATAAAATAAAAATAGAAAAATACAAGGAATTAGAACTGAAAATAATAACAAAATAGTATAGAACACCCATTCAGCTGGCACATATGATTCAGGGATTAAATCCTAAATGTTGGTATTGTGGAAGTCGGGAGGCATGGTATTCACATCTATGGTGGGAGTGTGAAGAGATACAAAAATTCTGGAGTCAAATTCTAAACCAGATAGAATTACATACTAAAATAAAATTTGATATAAATATGCAAGTTTTGTTAATAGGAATATATGGTGATAGAAGAGTTAAGGACCAAGACTTAATGATGATGATGTTTAGAGCAGCACATGCAGTAATAGCTTGGAGTTGGAAAGAAAAAAAGAAATTGACACTTGAAAAATGGTATGAATATGTGTGGGACCAAATATAACTGGATATTATGGACATCATAAGAAGCAAAAAGACATGGTCAGACAAACAGAAGAAAATTAAAGAAATTTGGACTCCATTTAAAAGATGGTTACAGGTCGTTAAACCAGATGATGAAAGCTGGAAGAAAAAATTGGATAGAATTGAAAAAAGGCTCATGTAATGGGGAAAAAAAAGGATTACATTGTCAACAGGGAAGAGGGAGGTGTGGGAGTGGGGAGGGAGAAGGGAATGAAAAAGTATAAAATGCATGGTAATTATGGTTATGTATAAATTGTTTTATAAGAATTATTTAAAAAATTGAAAAAAAGTCCTCGAGATTTCTTGAGAGGTATCTTCTCTAGGAATTTGCTAGGTCCTCTGACATTATGATAGCTTGTGAGGGAAGCATATGATATCGTTGCCTGGAGGACCTAGAAAATTACTAGAGAGACCATTTTTCCCCCAGTGAGGGTAAGTGGAACTGCAGAGATGGGTTCTGCTGTTATGTGGGTCTTACTGTAATGTATATATATAGCAGTTTAATTCTATTTTAATGTTCACTTTTTGTATGTTTTTAATTGTATCACCCTTTTCAAATGTAAATTCCAATTTTGGGGGAAGGCGGGGAGGGAAGAAAGTTAGTTTCTGTACAGAATTTTTTTCTGCATAAAAATCCCATCTGGGAATATTGCGTAGAACAAGTCCGGAACTGCAAAAGGTCTGCATAGTTTTTCAAATACTTTTTTGCATCAGGAAGAAGTTTGCAAAAATTGCTCACTGCTTCCTTTCAGAACAAAACTAGCAAAAAAAACCAAAACCCTACAACACTACTTTGTATTTTTTGGGATGGGCTAAAATACTGTCACACATGTTTAACCTGAGGGATGTCTGTTGTGGTTTAACGAGTGCCCATTTACCCGTAATTGCCATCTTTCTGCCCTGAGTCCCTTCGGGGAGAGAGGGTAAACTATTATTATTATTAATTCTTTCTTTCTCGCCAATGGTTTCTGTTGCTCACTCCTAGACAGTTATGTCGAATTGGCCTCCACGTTTTCTTTGAGCAACCTCCTGCCTGACATGGCCTTACTCTCCAAATACTACCGCTACAAGGGTTCCCTCACCACTCCGACCTGTGATGAAGTGGTCACCTGGACTGTGTTTGAAGAACCAATCCCACTCAGCAAATCACAGGTAACAAAAGCATCTCTTTCCACAGTTTGTCAAAATGGCTTCCGCCCTCAGCATCTACCACTCCTTCAATAAAAACATTATTATTATTATTATTATTATTATTATTATTATTATTATTATTATTATTATACCCAAGTTTTTCTTTCCACGTTCAAAGTGACTATTGGTATCCTCTTACGACCTTAAGATCTTTGGTGGAACTCCATCTTTATGTTCTGCCACGTGGTGAGGCACATTTAGTGGAGCCATGGAACAAGCACGTTGTAGACAATGTGAAAAGCTGGCCAGGTTACCCACACAGCTCAAACAGACCCACCTTTAGGTTAAAAATAAAGAGGCTATTCCTCTTGAAACTTGATTTTTTTGCAGTGATCCAAACAAGATGAACTGAGTTCTATAATAATTGGCCTACAGCTGGTTAATTTTGGGGTCAGTGTTCTACCTATGAAACCCTCTGTGGACTGGCAATCAAACAAATCAACCTGTAAGGAAAATCTAGACATGATTAAAGTTCATCTGTTTTTAAACAAATAGATTTTTTAAAATAGTAAATGGGATAGTGGCGATCCCTCAACCTACTTAAAAAAGACAATTTCTTGGGATCCTTTGAGGTTCACTTTTAAGGGGCTTGGAAAGAGTGGTTGACAAAAATAATCTTGGGGGCCATATGCAGCCCTCCAGCAACACTTTGCCTACCCCTGCTATAACCGTCTTTTCCTGTTTTTCTTTGTCCAGATAAATGCCTTTATAAAAACCCTTTACTTCAAAAAGTTGGATACAACATCTCGAATGATCAACAATTTCCGTCCTGTCCAGCCTCTTCGCAGCCGCAAAGTCTTTGCCTCCAGAGATGCTACCATCAGCTGTTGCTCTCCACTCGCTCCCAGTTTCTTTGTTCCTCTGTTCTTGTATGTTTTGGCTGGTCTGTTCTCAGGCCCCTCCTAACTATCTCTATGGACAATTGAAATCCAACACAATTAATTGATCCTTCATGGCATCTTCATAACCTATGCTTCTTCTCTGTGATTCTTTTTAAGTCATTGGCTTGGGTAAAGTCTCAATCCCATAGAGCCCCTGAAAACAGTATGACTTCCAAAAGCCACAATGTCCATCTCTCTTTGATTTCAAGGGGTCTACTCAAAACCTGATTGAATCTGGGTCTCACCTACAGAATGGCATGATCCGTGAACTGGAAGCAAACTGATCGTGGGGAGGATACAATGTCTAATTGCTCTCTTTCATTGATGTCCAAAGACTTGCTTTCATACCCCTAAGACCCAGCTGTGCTTAGTGTATGATTAGTCAATAGGTTTGCTGGAATCAAAAGAACCCCATTCCGCTGATGTACCATGCTGGGACAGATGTGGGATGAAGGGTGTGCACATTTTTCAACATGGCTGGTTCTTGGGATGTGTGGGGAACATATGGGGACCGGGTGTATCCAAGCACCTTTCCATCAGAATGTGAAGCAAATGCTACAGTGGTGTAAACTGACACAAATAATGAATAAATTCAGAGTTCTTAATTTTTCCATAATCAGGGCCAATGCCACAGTATCAATGCCTTGCAAACCCAACTTTACCCTGTGAGCTAATATATCATAGAACCTTGGGAAGAATAGGAAAATGCCCCAAGAACCATACTTGAGGGCAATACCCTACCAAGGAACTTTCAGAACCTTTATGTTCCTCAGTACAACACACCCTGATTCTAGTCTACCCACGATTGTCATTAAAAAAGTCAAGGATGGAGACAGCAAGAAGCCCTGATGGAACTTCTGACCTGATGTAGTCATTGCTTGGCTTTATATCCAAGATCTACCTCGAAAGAGAAGAACTTCATCCCCCACAAAGTGAATAGTCTCCCCTGGAAGTTCAACCATGGCCAATCTAATATATTTGGAAGAGCAGTATGTGAACATTTGACTGGGATCTAGAAGCTGTTCATGAAACAGCCTTTAGATACCTGCATCTAACCTTCCAGGTTGCTCCATTCAGTCTCATTAGTAAACCTTCCTCCTTCTAGACAGGTGTCCTGTCTTATTTGGGAGGAAAGAAGGTAAAGCAAAGGAATCATAGAACCATGAAACCAGAAAAGACACCAAGGGACATCTAGTCCCATCCCTGTCAATGCAGGTACCCACCACTAAAGCACCCCAAAGAGATGACCACCCAACCACCAACAACCCACCATCCTCTTTTGCACTGTTGAGTAGCACTTGCCATTTGGAAGTGCTTTCTAATGTATAGGTAGAAACTTCTTTCATTCTAATTTGAATCTATGGCTTTGGGTCTTACCTTCTGGAGCACCCTCCCACACAAAGCCAATCTTCTTTCGCCTCTCATATGATGGGTCTTCAGATATTTAATGATAGTGGACCAGGTCATACATCACAGTCAACTTTTCACAAAAACATTGTGCTGTCACAATTAGAAAACTGCTAACTGATTGTAAAGTTTTGCACCTTGGCATGGGTAACAGCATGGCAATGTACATCACGGAAGCTCCTGTTGAGCTCTAGCATTTCCTAGCTGGTATCAGGATTCACACAGAGCATCAGTCATCATCTTAAACATTGAGAAATTGACTCATTACTCCAGGTGACATTTGACCAAAGCAGAATGGAACAGGTACTGTTACTCCCCCTGGTCTGGACAATAGATTTCTCTTAATCACATCTAAAATAGCACTGGCTTCTTTTTGTTGCAGCCTGTCACTCTTGGCTTTTTGGATTCAGTCAACTTTTGAGTTCCACGAAACCTTGTCACTTTAGATGCAAAGAGGCATCTGATCAGTGGGTGGGAGAGAGGATGCAGCTGAACAAGATGGAAAAGCCAGCTCCTGTAGTTTCAAATAGCTGTGATGCAGCCCATTCTGGGTGTTACACTGTAATTTAAGGCGCTTGACAACAGAAGCTGTCAGACTGGGACATGTTGCATATTAACCTTGCCTCCGCATAGCAATAACAGCAAGATTGATGCTGTGAATCTATGACTATGGCTGGCAGAGGTTTGTCTAGCTGAAATGGCCTAGATAATACTTCCACAATCTAATCCTCCCCAGAGCAATGGCCCATTTTATAGATGGTGGATATGAGGGTCGTACTATGAGTGTATGTGGAAATCGTACATTTTCCAAACAGCTGAAAAGGTGGGATTGCAGAGGGTTAATTGGAGGTATTCCTGCCAAATTGGGACAGTTGGAGGGGATGCTTTGCAAAGGTGTATTACAGTAGTTTGGATTACTGCGGTTGTATAGGTGAGGGGGGCTCTTGGGATGTCTTTCTGGCCTAAGCTCTGCTGCTTCAAGCCAAGAGATGATAAATTGGTGGTCCTTTAAAAAGAACTAATTACCAGTCCAAGGGGACTGAACAGCAATGTGAGCATTGCCATGAAAAATGGATGGAGCTGTCGTTCCACAACTTACCCCAGGACAGAAGGGGGAAGCAGGAAAAATACAATGATTTGTTTTCTTCACATCTCCTTTGCTGTTGGAAGCAGCCTAGGAAAAGAAGAAAGAGAAGATATCAAAAGGCCTGATTATCCCTGAAGACTATTTCGTCCAAAGTAGGGCAGCCAGTTCAGGATCTTCCTGAGACTTGTGATATTTGAGCAGAGTGCAAGATCTTAGGACCAGCTGTCATGGTGCTTCTCCGTGTCCTGTAGATGGTGGTACACATCTTCCAATTTTGCTGGACTCAGTTCAAGGGAAAAGGAAAAGCTAGGCACACATTGCCAGCTCTATTCGGACTAGAGCAACTTCCTCTGGTTTCCAAGGCAACTTTCTCCAGGTTGTGTGTGTCTGTGTGTTTACTTAGTTCACGTCTACACTGACCACTTAATAGGGGCCATTCTGCTTTGGACTGGCCTCGGATTGACCATGAAAGTTCCCATATGCTCTGAGCCAAATCTGACGATTGGAATGAGTGGCCCTTGTGGGAAAGCTTGGAGGGAGAGCAGGAGGAGGCAACAGGAGGAGGAAACTGTGGAGCCCCTCAATATGCTACGTGGAATCCCAAGGGCTCTGCAGAGCTCAGTTAAAGAACCACTGAACTAGACCAACTGCAAAGTAAATATAACATCTAACTGCTGCAGCATATCAATTATATTTCACGTGTATTAACAGATGGAAGTTAGAGTGCCTGCTAGTTTGTGAGAACAGCCAAGAACACTTGCTCAGGACAGATAAGGGGATAGGAATACCCTTAGGAAGATGGAGCTGAAAAGAGACAGTGCCAAGCTCAGGTTCTCAGGGAAGACAGTGTTTCAACCATAATGTAATGTTTTGACAAAAGGCCCAATTGCCGTAGAGGCCGGGAAATTGTACTGGTGTTGTTAGCCAATGCAAATTTGCCCACACAATTTTTGAAATGCTGCACTTTTATAAAGTTGAGGGCTTAGTGACAAAACTTTAGTCCTGGCAATGCTTTACTATCTTGTCCAGTAAAGTTATCCTTTTGTTCTAAAGTGGGACCGTGTTTTGAGAAACAGATTAGGCTCTTACCTGACTCAAGAAGGGGTTAGAGTATGACTGCACAACCTGCGGCCCTCGAGTGTTTGGGACTCCAACTCCCAGAAGCTCTTGCCAGCTTGTCCAATGGTAAGGAATTCTAGGAGTAGAAGTTCAAAACACCTGGAAGGTCACAGGTTGGACTGGCCTGGGCTAGAGCATCTACCTCCTTGTTGATCACACAACTGAGTGCCTCATTCTGATCAACCTCCTTCCCTGTGCAGGTGTGGGGACAGTGTGCATGTTGAGGATGGATCAAGCTGAAATGTCAAGAAATGGCTTTTCACAGAATTCTAGAGGTAAAAGAGAACACAAGAGCCATACAGCCAAACCCCAGGCCATACAGGAATATATAATTTTTCACATTCTCTTGTAGCAGCTGAGCCCAAACTTTAGAAATGATAGGAACAGAATGCCTACATAGCCTTGAGGGACTGCAGAAATGAATCTGGTGGACCGTACTGGGCTCACTGTTATCTTCAAGGGTCACAGATTCTCAAAAGGCCTGTATCAAGGTGTTCCTAAATGATATCTTCCGGAAATGCATGATCCACTACACTGTATAATACATTGTAATCGCTCTACCTGAAAGTTACACCATTGCTGTTCGTTCCAAACTACAGAATCCCAGCCAATGGAACAACAGACAAGCTGCCTGATTTATTGAGTCTGCATAGAGTGTTCTGTCAAGAGTGTCAGAAATTCCCCTGTGATCTATTACTCACCCAGCGGCACTCAGACACTTTTAACTGATGTAACAGAAACATATCGACAGTGGCACTCCGCCCGTAATTATGTGTTCTATGCCATGGTGACAGAACTGGTCTTGGCGAGCTGATGTGCAAACACACACTAGCACATTGGCATAGAAGAATAAATCTTCATTGATCTTGTTTTCAATGCAAGTTCTGCATAGCAATATGGGCTGTCGTCCCCACCTCAACCTCAACTATCCTTTTGTGCCAACATGTTCAGTCTGGTGGAGCCCAGAAACCTATATTTAAGCAGGGAAGTTACTTATACAGTCATGGCAAGATCCTATAGTGAGGCTGTGTAATTTAAAGGGTACAAAGTTTCTTGGATGAAACCAATTATCTAGATCCATTTCAATTTGGTTTCAGGCCTGGCTATGGAACAGAGACGGCATTTGTCACCTTGGTGGATGATCTACAAGAGAACTAGACAAGGGAAGTGTGTCCCTTTTGGTTCTTCTGGACCTCTCAGCGGCTTTCGATATCATCAACCATGGTATCCCGAGCCAGCTTGTTGGGATGGGGCTTGGGGGCACTGCTTTGAGTGGCTCCGGTCCTTTGTGGAGGACTGAACTCAGATGGCAGTGCTGGGTGATTCCTGTTCGACAACCTGGTCAGTGGCCTGTGGGGTCCCTCAGGATTCAATCCTGCCTCCCATGCTGTTTAATATTTACATGAAACCACTGGGAGAGATTGTTCGGAGTTTTGGTTCAGTGTCAAATTAATTCAGGTGACACCTAGCACTATTACTCCTTTCCACCCAATGCCAAAGATGCCATTCTGGCCTTGAACCGGTGTTTGTCATCAGTGATGGACTGGATGAGGGCTAACAAGTTGAACTTATATCCAGACAAGACAGAGGTACTCCTGGTCAGTTGTAAGGTGGGTCAAGGTGCGGGGTTACAGCCTGTGTTGGTTGGGGTCGCATTCCCCTGAAGACACTTTAGGAGTACTAACTTCCAAAATATGAAGGAAATACTGATACTGAGGGAATGACAGTCAACTACTTTGCCTTAGATTGGCTATTTTCATTGTCCTCTAGCCTTGGCGGGTCGGCCTGGCGCTGTCAGATGTTATAGCAATTGGCAACCTTGAATTTTTAAATATGTTTAAATTTTTTAGTGAACCTTCGGGAGCTCGTTAAACTGAGGTTTATGTTTTTATGGGTGAAATAATTTTCATGTTTTTATGGTTAGATATAATTTATGTAACTGTTTGTGTGATTTTAGGTTTTATTTATGATTGCTTGTTGGATGTCGATTGGTGTTGGGAGTG